TTTTTTTTTCATTTAAAAAAGTATTTAGGACACATAAAACAAGGCAACATTTATTCCTTCTTCTCATCTTCCGGGATGGGGTCTGACGGCGGCTCCTCCACAGTGGCACTGTTGCTCTCTGAGCCGGTGTTGCTGTCGCTGGTCCCCTCTTCCGCCAGGCTGTCGCCGCCCTCCTGTCCGCTCTCCTTGTCCTCGGGTGTGGACGTGCCCTCCTCGCCGTTCTGCTGGCTCTCTGCTGCCTCTTCCAGGTGTGACTCCTCTGCAACCACGCACCGCGTGGTCAGCTCTGAGGGACCTCCTGACCCTGTGCTGACGCACGAGCCACGTGGTGGCCCGCCCCAGCAGCTGAGCAGCACTCAGGGAGACGGGGGCCAGGGCGACCCAGGGCGTGGAAAGCTACTTTTCAGCTCTAAGTTTTTTAAACCTAAACATAGATCAAATGCGCCCGCGAAAATGCAGCTGTTGAATTGGGACGTGCTTTTAGGGTACCATATACATTGGGCAGACTTAAGAAAATAAAAAAAATGTTCCTTTAAAAAAGATACCAAATAACATGGTGAATATTTAGGTTATACTGGGTTAAATATTAAAATTAATTTCACCTGTTTTGCACAACGTCAAAGTGTCCCCAGCAGAACAGTCATCACTACATAAGTGACTTGTGCTCTATTACTGGAGACTGCTCTTGCAGTGCTCAGGGTCAGTTGAGAAAAAGTAGGTATGGAAGCCTCCAGTTAGGGTGCGGACACTTTGCTAAGCCACGCTGGCTTATTTTCTCTAGAAATGGAGAGCATCTAGCTCCTGCCTGAGCCCTTGGGTTTCGTTAGCTTCCCCTTGCCTTGAGAGTTGAGGCTGTGGGGAACCTGCAGACCTGCAGAAGTCCTGCCCCACCGAGGCGGAGGACCGCATCCTCCAGTTGCAAAGAAAGGACTGTATCTGGATTTTCAAATTCTTGCTTCACCCACAAAAAAACTTGCGCTCCTGCTCTAAGTGTAAGGCAGGAACGCGCTCATAGAAACAGAAAGGCTCAGGAGATGAAACTCAAAATCTGACCATCGGAAATGGGAACCTGCCTGATTAAGTTCTGAAGAAAACCTGGAAGAAATGGTTCAGTCCCTGCAATGCTGTCCTGATGGCTGTCAGCAAGGCTTAGGCTATCAGTATTTGCACTTTATGCTAAATCTGGGCTCAAACTGCGCATGGTGGCACGCGCCTATAATCCCAGCTCTTGGGAGGCTGTAAATAGGCAGA